GCAGGTGAGCAGAAAGAGGGGGAAAACCACGGGGCAGGGTGGTCACCGCAGTGGGGGAGCAGCGTGTCTCAGGAAGGAGGTTATGCTCAGCTATGTCACTTGCTGCTGGCTGGAGGGGCAAGAGGATCACTGGAAAATATCCCTTTCTTCTTTTCCTTTTAGGGGCCTGTGCTGTGCGGCATGTGGTCTCTTAGTTCCCTGACCAGGGATCGAAACTGCGCCCCTTGCAGTGGAAGCGCGGAGTCTTAACCACCGGACCACCAGGGGAGTCCCGAACTATCCCTTTCTTCTGGCAACACGGGGATCATCGGTGACCTTATCGAGAGCAGGTTCTCTGGAGTGGTGGGGAGAGGGAATGTCATGGGAGGAAAGCAGACAGGTGGGCAGGAAGCAAAACATGCAGAATAGAACATGCATAAAACTTTCTGATAGAAGTTTATTTATTTACGTCTATTTTTCTCCATGAAGGAGCGAAGAGAATGGAGGGAGATGTGACTCAAAGGAGAGTGTTTGTTTTTAAAGGTGGGAGGTACCTGAGCGTGTGGTTTGCTAATGGGAATGATCCAGTAGTGCTGGGCATGATGTGGAAAACCACAGAAGAGAAACCCACTGGAAGAGAGAGGGTGTGAGCCCCAGAGCACAGATGGAAGGTTGGACTTTGAATGGGTGGACCATGGAGTCAATCTTGTCTCTTTTGCTTAAACTTCATCCAGCCCCTAGGGTAGCAGGTGGCACCTAGTAGGTGCTCAATAAAATCTGCGTTGGGTGAATGAATGTGAGTACCGAGGCAGACAGGTTTCTAGATGGGGAGGGGAGGGGAGGGGGCCTTTCTTCCTCTGTTGGTTTGGGGAAAGCTGGGGTGGGGATGGCAGGGGGCTGAGAGAGTTGAATAGGAGCAGCGGTGTAGGAGAATCTTGCTTCACAGTGGAGGCGCCATGAGGATTTATTTCGCGTTCAGCTGACAACATTAAATGAATGATGCCCACCTTGCCCCCACCGCATTGCCACTCCACCTTTGTCATCATTTAGGTTCCCAGATATACTTGTATGTGTTTCTTTGCAGTGTTCTCCTCACGTCTGTTTTGGGTCCTGGCTGACACCACACTCTTTTGATGACAGTGGCTTTATCCCTTTTCTAGTTTTTAGTATATTGCAAGGACCGCCTCCCTTCCTCATTTCTCTCTCACTTCTTCACTTTCAACCACATTTAGTCTGTCATTTGGACATAAACAGCCCTTTTTTTCCTCATTAAAAAGAAAACGAAAAACCCTGAGAGCAATCATGGTGATTCTGTTTGTTTTGCATTTCTATCAATTTATTTGGGACATTACATTTATGTCTTTTAGGAAAACTTTTTCCTTATTAAAAATACAGGCTTCGTAACTTTTTTAAAATTGGGGTATAACTTACAGTTAAGTGCAAAATCTTAGGTTTCTAGGCAGTGTAACCACCACCCAGACTGAGGTGGGGCTACTTCTAGAATCCCAGGTGGGGACTCCCTCGTGTCCCCTCCCTGCCATCCCCCATCCAGAGGGAACACATATTAGGACTTCTATGATCATAGACTGACTTTGTCTGAGTTCGAACTTCATATAGATGGAATCAGAATGCACTCCTTCATATGTGACATCTTTCATTCCGTATTACATTTGTGGAGCTCATCCGATGCTCACTGAAGCCTAGTGCTTGTGAGAAGTGAGGACACTGCCTCCTACCGCCGGTCCATCCTCAGGCAGCCGTCTACCCACGAGGACAATTGTCACTAGCCCCACACCGCCACTCCCCCACGGTCATGCACGCCTCCCCCCTGCCCTTCAGTTTGGCCGATTCTAATACGAATAGGTTTTGATTTCCCTGTTCTGACAAAGGCCCGACTTGGATGCCACCAAGACTGACCATGGGCCAGTGAGGTCTGCGAGAGTGCGGTCATCTGGGCAGCAGGGACCGGCAAGGCAGGCGGTGAGGGGACAGACGAAAGGACAGGTGTCCGTACCCTGGAGGACAAGCTCCATGGCGGCCCATCGCTGAGTCTCCTGCAGCAGCCAGCACGGGCCGTGGCCTGGCGCAGGCTCCCCGGGGCCGCTGGGCTGAGGGACCCGTGGGGCGCTCAGTGGGGAGGGGAGAAGCTGCTCGGACAGGTAGGCAGCTGCCTTCATCCTTGGGGAAGGGAAGGGAAGGGGAGAAACCTGGGCCGAGCTCTCCTTAGGAGCCCCCCGTGCAGGGCCAGCCGACTGGCCATGGAGTATTTTTACCCCATTACACAGAGGAGAAGAGAAAGGCTCCCGGAGGGACCACGCTGGACCAGGACCACGCAGGGACACGTGGCTGTGGGATGTACTTCGGCCTCAGAAAGCGTGGCCGCCCATGCTCTTGCTGTCTCCCTCCAGGCCCGAGGAATGTGGTGATTGAGTCTTCCAGCCCCAAGTGGGACCCTGGCTTGCAGCCCTGGGGCAGGAGCCTCGGGGAGCAGACACGGACCACAGTGCTGGGACCACAGAGGAGTCGGGCCTGGCTCAGCTGTGTCTGTCCCAGGGCCTTCTGCACTGCTTCCTGCCTGGGACTTATGGCTTATTTGCTTGGTTACAGCTGGTGGTCCCACCTCAGGATGTCCTGTGGGACCTCAGGTACCACATATATGACAAAGATCAGGCCTGGCACACAACTGTGCCTGAGCACACAGAACTAACCATGGTCCTGACCCACAAGGAACACACACACACACACGCACACACACGCGCACACACACACGCACACACACACACACACACGCACAGGGTGACTGAGCACACAGAACTAACCATGGTCCTGACCCACAAGGAACACACACACACGCGCACACACACGCGCACACACACGCGCACACGCAGCGTGACTGAGCAGAAAGGAAACACATTCGGCCCAGACACACCCAAATACCTCAGCTCTGGAGAAGACCAGAGGGTGTTGACACTTCCCAAGGGTGGTTTCTGGGAAGAAACTCATCATCAAATCTCCTCCTTTGGTTTTGGTTTCTGGGCTCCAACAGCAGCCCCTCCTCCCCGTCTCCCCACTCCATTCCTTGAAGTGACCCAAAAATCCACAAAGTATATGCCCTGTGGGCAAAGGGTGCAACCCCAGTGGACAGGTGGGCTTACACTGGGAGAAGGGCCCCCACCCCGTGCTGTCAGAGGGCAGGCTCCTGGCAGACGTGCTTCCATCACCCCAGGGCCCCCATTCCCAAGGGCCCATCTCCCCAGGCCCTGGTCTCAGAGTTTCGCCTATGACACAGGGACCCTGATGTGCTTGGGACATGACACAGCCTGGGGACTTCCGAGAGCCGGGCTGGGGACAGGCAGCCTCTCCTCCATCCCTCTCTAGGGAGCAAAGGGCACCCTCAGGAGGGCAGAGCTGGGACCTTGCACAGAGCAGCCTGGCCAGGACTCCAGAAACTTCAGGATCATTCACTCCAGTCCCTGAGGCACTCAGGCTGAGCAGCCCCGCCCCCTTCCCCAGGGTCCTTTGGCCCTGTCTGTCTCTCTGACCCCAGTCTGGTCTCCCCCGGGGCATCCAGCCCTGTTCCCAGTTTTCCTGATGGAGGAACGGGGGAACGGGGCATATCCCAGCACAGTCTGCACCTGCTCAGGGGGCCACTCTCCCCACACGCACCCTCCCTCACTGGTGGACCTAGGTCCTGCCTTCCCTTCTGGGATCTTCCCACACTTTGGTGGAGAACTCCAGCAGGGTGTAGGAATTTCCCCACATTTTTACTCTACTTGACAGAGGCAGACATAGGGGAGGGGCTGTCATTTCCCAGAAAAGACAGGACCTCTTTTCTTCTTTCTTCTTACCTGATGGACTGAGGTGAGCTGCACACTTTCATCTCATCATCACATCAGCACGGGGCTTCCTGCACCAGAGACCTCCCTCAGAAATCTACCGGGGGCACAGGGGAACCAGAAGAACTTAGTGAGTTGAGTGACGAGGAGACTTTGTAGCGGTGCGAGAGGACAGCTTGGTCTGGATCAGGACCACATTCTCCCTCCCTGGAAGGCAAGAGTTGGGGGATGGTTTTGGGGAGATTCTCAGGGACCCCAGCCAGGTCTCTGTAACCCCGGTCCTCGTAGAGACCCTGTCTCCTGCTCAGGAGGACTGGAGGCTGCTGGGTGTGAAGACCGTGACCTGGGAAGTGTGGGCACTGCTCAGGACACCCCACACCCCAGGGCCGTTCTCACCCAGAAACCACCTGTCACAAAAATGGGGGCTGAGCCACCACCTGGGGGACAGTGTCTGTTCTCCAGGGGACCAGGTCTAGAGGGCAGAGGTGACAGAGGGGCCCCAGCCCAGGGTGAGGGCGGGGTGGAGGGCACCCTCCATGAGGAGGGGCACCCACCCGAGAAGGGGGGGACACTGTGCTGAGTTTCCTCCCTGAGGATGTAGGTCAGCAGCCTGGTTCCCGTGCAGGTGGCCAGGCTGGGCTTCGGGGCAGGGCGGGCTGGTAGCCAGCTCCTGTGGGAGGAGCGCTGGGCCAGGACAGGGGCTCTAAGAGGAGCCGGATGGGGAGTCAGTGGGACAGGGGGCAGCCCCTCGGGGACAAACAGGGCCAGCTAGGGCCAGGGTCCAACTTGGGGCTGGAAGACACAGTCACCACATTCCTCGGGCCTGGAGGGGGACAGCAAGAGCATGGGCGGCCACGCTTTCTGAGGCCGAAGTACGTCCCACAGCCACGTGTCCCTGCGTGGTCCTGGTCCAGCCTGGTCCCTCCGGGAGCCTTTCTCTTCTCCTCTGTGTAATGGGGTGAAAATACTCCATGGCCAGTCGGCTGGCCCTGCACGGGGGGCTCCTAAGGAGAGCTCGGCCCAGGTTTCTCCCCTTCCCTTCCCTTCCCCAAGGATGAAGGCGGCTGCCTGCCTGTCCGAGCAACTTCTCTCCTCCCCACTGAGCGCCCCACGGGTCCCTCAGCCCAGCGGGCCCCAGGGAGCCTGCGCCAGGCCACAGCCCGTGCAGGAGACTCAGCGATGGGCCACCATGGAGCTTGTCCTCCAGGGTACGGACACCTGTCCTTTCATCTGTCCCCTCACCGCCCGCCTTGCTGGTCCCTGCTGCCCAGATGACCGCACTCTCGCAGACCTCACTGGCCCATGGTCAGTCCTGGTGGCATCCAAGTCGGGCCTTTGTCAGAACAGGGAAAAAGAAACTTAAACTTCTCTGTGAACGTATGACGTTTGGGCGGAGAAGTTCACGGTGTCATGAGTGGCCAGAGTTCAGGAAGGGGTGAGGCCCAACTCTGCTGACACAGCGGTTTCCAGGCGCTCTGATTGTATATAAGGCTCCTGGTACTTGAAGAGTAGGCCTGGTGCTTGTAGGAGGCTCCTGGTGCTTGTAGGAGGCCACAGGCTGTGACCGAGCACAGAAACAGAAGACTCAGAGCCAGGGACGGTGAAGAAACTGACTCATGGAGGCCAGCACAGCACCCTGGACCAGGTACCACGCTACAGGGGAGCGGGGCAGTGGGAGCTAGGACAGGGGCGGGACGGTGGGGAGAGGCCGTGACCCAGTCCGACTTTGGGCAGAGGGTCAGGTCTTCACTGAGGCTCTGAGCATCTTGCATCGCTCCTGGGGGGAGATCCTGAATTCCCTGGGAGCGCCCAGCGGGGGTCAGAGGGGGAGGACTCGTGGCTCCAGCAGAGATGTGGGGTGCAGAGGGAAAGGGTGTGCGGGGAGGAGAGGAGCGCTGGGCAGTCCCAGAAGGAGCCCCGTGTCTTCGGGCTTCTCCCGCCTTTTACCGTAGATGCCTGTTGGATGAAAACACCTTCAATGAGAACTTCATGAATCAGATAAACCCTCGTAAGACCTACCTGTGCTACAAGGTGGAGATCCTGGATGGTGACACTAGGGTCCTTCTGGACGAGAAAAAGGGCTTCGTGCAAAACAAGGTGACTGACCCAGCCTGCCCGCAGCAGGCAGGGCCTCCCTATTGTGGGACACTCAGGGTAGAAGGTTGTCAGTTGCACACAGGATGTCCCACAAGCTCTCTCACCCCCGGTCCCTGCCGTTGCTACTGCTGCTCTGCTTGGAATCAGGTGAGGACCCTTGCTGTGTGGCTGGCAGCTCTGAGCCACATGTCATAAGCCAATCACAGCAATCCAGGGCCTGGTACCTCCAATGTCACCCCAGGCTCTAGGACTAGGCTACTCCTCTCCTGCTGTGCCTCTGGGGAGGGGTTGGGACAGAGGGAAAGGCATCTGGACAAGGGGCCGGGTTCTTCCCCGGATTCCGCCCGGGGGATGGCTCTGGCTAGAGAGCCCGATTTCTTCCTCAGTCACTGTGGACTTAGACGGGCCCAGCAGGACCCCTGCCCACTGCTTGAGAGATCTTGCCAAGGGCGCTGATCCCTGCAACCCCACTGCCAGCTGTCCTTAGCCCAAGGACGCCCCTCAGCCTCGGGCTCAGCACAGGGTGAGGCCCAGAGTAGAAGATTGTAGAAGTTTTGGTGCACATGTGGGGTGGGGTAGAGGGGGAGCTGGAGAGCAGGGTGAGTCGCTCCAGGGAGGAAACACCCACTTCCATGGCAGGAGGCCAGCGTGGGAGCTCCCCTGGCCTCCTCTCTGCAGGGCTGGACTAGGTGAGGCTCCTGAAGGCCCTACCTCGGGCACAAAATAAGAGGCGCTCCAGAAAACTCAGAAATCAAGATGAGTCACATTTTAAGGCAATAGTTTAAAAATCAAAATTAACGCAATTCTATGATGAACAAAACATCAACATTTGCATGAAGACTGATGGGTTTCAGTGCTATGCAGAGCCACAGGGAGCCGAGGGCCAATAACAAGTCATCACTGCTCACCGAGCTTTTTGTAAAACACTGATACTGTGTCTCTCATGGAGTTTTGCGTTACTTTGAATCATGTAAACGCTGCATTGAAATATCATTCACTTGGTGCTGAGGCTTTGCCCGCGCGCTGGAGGTCAGTGCCTCACCCACCTGCCTACTCTGGCCTCGTCCTGCCCCAACCCCGTCCACTTTTCTTCCTCTTCTATGTAGGGTGCTAACGAACCAGGGAAGCCCCGCCATGCGGAGAGCTACTTCCTGGACCGGATCCGTTCTTGGAATTTGGACCGGGGGCTGCACTACAGGCTCACCTGTTTCATCTCCTGGACCCCTTGTCATTCCTGTGCCCAGGAACTGGCTACTTTCCTGGGGGAGAACAGCCACTTGAGCCTGCACATCTTCGCCTCCCGCATCTATAGCCTCCCCGGTTATGAGGCTGGGCTGCGCAAACTGCAGGCGGCTGGGGCCCAAATCGCCATCATGACCTCTAAGGGTCAGCATGGGTCTCCTGGGGGTGGGGTGGTGGCAGGGAGAGGCCTGTGGGAAGTTGCCAGAAAGGGGCGGGTAGGGTGGGAATCCCTGGTAGAGAGGCCTTTGTGTGCTGCCTGAGAGGTGATGCTAGACTCTGGAAGGAGTTTATGGGAAGAGAGAGTTCAGGGGAGCAGAGCTGGTTCGGGGAGGGGAAGAAGGGGAGTGGGTGGATATGCAAGAAAGACTAGGGGACTTCCAGAAAGGAGAATTGAGCTGGCTCAAATTCCAGTTGCAAGAAAGAGCTGGAGGGGTAAGCTATTGAGTCCCCAGGAGGAAGGAGAGAGGAAGAAGTGAAATTATGAAGGGGAAAGTCTGTCCCGAAGAGTCATTTCAGCCCTGTGGCCCCAACCCTTCCCTAGACTGGACTTCACCTTTCTCTCCCCTGTTGCATCTCAGAGTTTGAGCACTGCTGGGAAAACTTTGTGGACCACCAGGATAGACCCTTTCAGCCCTGGGATGGGCTGGAAGTAGTGAGTCAACATCTATGTAACAGCCTGCAGACGATTCTCCAGGTGAGGGCTCCTTCCTGCTGCTTCCCTGGACCTCCTCCGTCCTCTCCTCTCCCTGTGGCTTTTTCCTCCTCTCAGAGCCTCCTTTGGGTGACCTGCTCCCTCCTGGGGCGCCAGCTCCATCCTTTCCTTCCCTTCTCATGCGGTCCCTCTACTTTCTCACTTGCTGTGTCCCTCCTTTCTTCCCCATCTTTGTAACACTCCCCAGACCTCCTCTCGGTTTTTGTTGCATCTTCCAACTGTCTCACTCCCTGCTCCCGTCCTAGATGCAGGAAAACTGAAGGCTGGACGTCAACCTCTCTAAAGAAGTCAGGAGACCTCTGTTGAACAGGAGAAAAAAACAGCTTTTTTTGAGAAATATAAACATGTCATTTGCTACCCTCTCCAGATTGATCCAAAGAAACCAGTGAAAGGCAAATGGCTCACAATAAAGAGTTTAAAAAAAAACACAACAATCTGGGGGCTTCCCTGGTGGCGCAGTGGTTGAGAGTCTGCCTGCCGATGCAGGGCACACGGGTTCGTGCCCCGGTCCGGGAAGATGCCACATGCCGCGGAGCGGCTGCGCCCGTGAGCCATGGCCGCTGAGCCTGCGCGTCTGGAGCCTGTGTTCCGCAACGGGAGAGGCCGCAACAGTGAGAGGCCCACGTACCGCAAAACAAAACAAAATAAAACAAAAAACAAAAACAATCTGGGTAGATTTACTTTTCATTCAAACCTATATTATGTTCCAATCTACATCAGTAAGATTCTATTCAATATTATCAGAATAGTTTTCGATTTTTAGAGAAATGGATATTTTAATTGATTTTAAATCCAAAGCAATAAAATGAAATATTAAGAATCTTCCACCAAATATTTTTCCTCAGTAAATGTATCATGAACTACAAGTAGTTTATTAAAAGTTGCAGACATGCAGATGCCTTTCTCTTTTGTAGTGGATCTGATTCATGGTGGAGTGGAGGTATAGTGGTCACACTAATTCCTGCTGGAGTGCGTAAAAATCAACTAAATCTTGTAGGAGGGGAATCTAGGATTCAAAAATCTACAGTATACCCTAATGATGAAAAATCTGAAAGTGAAATTAAGAAAACACTCCCATTTACCTTTGCAACAAAAAGAATAAAATATCTAGGAATAAACCTACCTAAGTAGACAAAAGATCTGTGCGCAGAAAATTATAAGACACTGATGAAATAAAGATGATACAAATAGATGGAGAGGTATACCATGTTCTTGGATTGGAAGAATCAACACTGTGAAAATGACTATACTACCCAAAGCAATCTACAGATTCAATGCCATCCCTATCAAACTATCACTGACATTTTTCACAGAACTAGAACAAAAAAATCTCACAATTTGTATGGAAACACAAAAGACCCTGAATAGCCAAAGCAATTATGAGAAAGAAAAACGGAGCTGGAGGAATCAGGCTCCCTAACTTCAGACTATACTGCAAAGCTACAGTAACCAAGATAGTATGGTACTGGCACAAAAACAGACATATAGATCAATGGAACAGGATAGAAAGCCCAGAGATAAACCCACGCACATATGGTCACCTTATCTTTGATAAAGGAGACAAGAATATACAGTGGAGAAAAGACAGCCTCTTCAATAAGTGGTGCTGGGAAAACTGGACAGCTACATGTAAAGGAATGAAATTAGAACACTCCCTAACCCCATACACAAAAATAAACTCAAAATGGATTAGAGACCTAAATGTAAGGCCAGACACTATTAAACTCTTAGAGGAAAACATAGGCAGAACAAGCCATGGCATAAATCATAGCAAGATCCTTTTTGACCCACCTCCTAGAAAAATGGAAATAAAAACAAAAGTAAACAAGTGGGATCTGATGAAACTTAAAAGCTTTTGCACAACAAAGGAAACCATAAACATGACGAAACGACAACCCTCAGAGTGGGAGAAAATATTTGCAAACGAAGCAACTGACAAACGATTAATCTCCAAAATTTACAAGCAGCTCATGCAGCTCAATATCAAAAAAACAAACAACCCAATCCAAAAATGGGCAGAAGACCTAAATAGACATTTCTCCATA